ATGTGGTGCTGGGGGATTGAACCGCGGTCCCTGTGCTTTGCTAAGCTTGCTCTAATTAGGTGCTTTAGACCACTGAGCCATCTCACCAGCCCCAGGTTCTCTGCTTTCTGTAGTAAACAGCCAGGTGCAATGGTGCATGCCTATAATCTCAGCACTCTGGGAGGCTGAAGCAGGAGGATCTGAAAGATTTTTTTGTGTGTGGTACTGGGGATTGAAGTCAGTACCTTGTGCTTGTCAGGAAGGCCCAGCCCAAGGATCCAAAAGTTTGAGTCAACCCTGGGAACACTAGCAACTTAGTGAGACTTGTTGCAAAATAAAAATAAAAAAGTCCTGGCAATATAGCTCAGTGTGGGGTTCACTCCCAAGTACCCGAAAAAGACTGGCAAAAATGTTATTCAATCTATGTAACAGTTATATGGAAAGTCACTGCGTGCTTCTACTTTCCCATATGGTTTTCTTCAAAGCAAAAGGTTTAGAACTATGCTTGTGCCCACCTCCACCCCCAATCTTATGTCGTCACTGTGAGAGACACACAGTTTAAGAGAACAGAATTGTGCGGCTGTCCTTGGGGGTCCCTCTTCTAGCCATCCTCTGCCCAGGGCAGGTCTAGCTCTTTGGCCCGGGGTTCACCAAGTTTCCGCCATGTTGCAACCTCGACACCCCTGGCCCCGCTGCCCACCTTGACTTGCGCATAGAAGCTGCCCAGGCTGCAGCACACGCGGCACTCCAGCATGGTGTCGTCGTTGTTGTGGGCGTAGCGCAGGGCCTTCTCGAAGCTCTCCAGGGCCTTCTGGAAAAGGCTGAGGCCCAGGAAGGCATTGCCCATGCTCAGGCTGACTTGGCCGCCGAGCCGGGCACCGGCCCTGGTGCCCGGCAGGCCGAGGCAGGTCTTGCAGTAGGAGACGGCCTTGGGGAATTCGCAGAGCTTCTCATTGCTGCGAGCCAGGTTCAGGTAGCTCTCCAGGAGGAAGTCGGCGTCCTCCAGCTCCCGCGCAGTGTCCACCTGGACCACGGCGAACTGCCCACAGGAGCGGGGGTGGGGGTGGAGATGGGGGAGATCGCACAGCAGCGGACCCGAGGCTTGGACCCTGTGCCCCCCAGTCCTACGGGACTGGCCAAACTCAGCCGCAGCTCAGGCCTGGTCGCACAAACCCCTGGGGGCCCAGAGCCGGAGCCCAGACCTGAAGGCACTTCCGCCCCCAACACGCAAGCCTGGGATGGGAAGCTAGAGGCTCCGGGCCCAGCCCCAGCTCCAGCCCGCAGGGAAGCCGGAGGGTCCCGCCGTGTCCCTGCCCGGCTGCTGCCCACCTTGAGCATCTCTCGGTAGCGGCCCATCTCTGAGTGCGCCGTCACCAGGCAGCCCAGCACCCGGAAGCGGCCTGCCGGGTCCGCGCTCTTTTCCAGCACCTTGGTCCACACCTGCAGCGCTTTCTCTGTGTGGTTGGACTGGTACAGCCGCAGCCCCTTCTCGATCTGCTGCTTCGTCTGGTCCTGTCCCATCCTGCACGGCCTGTTGCCAGCTCCCGGAGAGATCTAGAGGCTCCTCAATGCTGCTCGCCCCCCATGGCCCCAGGGAGGAAAGCAGAGGCCCACGGGCGCCTCCCTAGGAACACAGCTGCTTTGGCAGTGGCCCCTGAGAGCAGCTGTCTCTGCCACTTGCAGCCACGTGGCCTCTGAGGAATGTCAGCAGCAAGGTCACGGGGCTGGGATGCACCACCCACTCCCAAGTGGCCTCCTGAGGGACCTAGAAGGCCCTACAGCATTGAGGAAGCAGAGTCCACCTGGGGCCAGGGTCCTGCTTGCTTTCCTCTGCCCACACGTGCCCAGCCCCCACTGTGTTCCTGGGATGCACTGGCTGCAGACCCCCGGCCAAGCGCTGGTCACACCAGTCGCAGCATCTCCCCGCAGAGCTGGTCCTCAAGCTGGTTCATGCTGAAGCCTGAGCTCCTGCTAACTCCCAGGGCCAAGCTGTTTTCTTCTCTCGGCCTCCATTTCCTCTTCTGCAGCATGAGGCTAGCAGGACAGTAAACCCAAAGCAGCAGCCCGGCCACTTCCTGCTGCCCCTGAGTGTTAGCAGGCTGGGCCATGTGAGCCTGGGGAGCCAGGGAAGAGTCACAGTGCCTGGCTTGGGGGACAGTGAAGAGCACTGAGGATACACTCATGGCAGGGGCACAACACAGTGTCAGGCACAAAGGAGCCCTGTGTGACAACCTTGTGTGAGTTCCCCATTTAACAGGTGTTCCAGGGGCCAGGGAGATGGCTCAGTAGGATACGTGCTTGACTGACAAACGCAAAGATCTGAGTTCAATCCCCGGTTCCGCCAAAAACAAAACAAAACAAAACAGGTGTTCCAGCCAGGCATGGTGTGTGCGCTGTAAGGTCAGTTCTCGGAAAGCTGAGGCAAGAGGACCTCAAGCTTGAGCTCAGCCTGGACAACCTGGCTCAAAACGAAGTGCAGGCTGTAGGCGTGGCTCAATGTTAATGCCTTGCTTGGGCTCAAACCGTATTCCCAACAAAAACCGAAGTAAAACATGCCAATTCTACTTCCAACCCGGGTTTGGAAGGTCCCTAACTAACACTGAGCTCTGAGGCCAGGCACTAGAAGGGCAAGGCTACGCAAAGGGGGAGCAGTGGTAGCCCTGGAGCAGCAGAAGTGAAATAAGCCCTGCCAGGGAGCACCCTGCCACCCCAGTAGCCGCTCTCCTCCTCCCCTGTTGCAGGGCACAGTGGGTAATCCAGTGGTGTTCAGTGCTTTCTCCCATCTTGCATACACTGCCACTAATTCCTACTTTGCTCAGCCCCGAAAGATGCCCACACTCACAAGCAGCTACTCTGTTTCCCTCTGGTGTTAGGGTTGCACTGTGGCCCCCACCCCAAATTAGCAAATTGAAATCTTAACCCCCATACTCAGGAATGTGATGACAGACATATTTTCTTCTTCTTTTTTAGGACTTTCTTTTTATTTATTTATTTATTTATTTGAGAGAGAGAGAGAGAGAGAGAGAGAGAGAGAGAGAGAGAGGTGTGTGTGTGGCCAGCTCAGCCCACCAGGGGGCGGAGCTGGCTGGCATGTGGTGCTGGGGGATTGAACCGCGGTCCCTGATGCTTTTGCCAAGCTAGTTCCAAGTAGGTGCTTTAGACCACTGAGCCATCTCTCCAGCCCCACATATTTTCTTCTTTAGGGTGCTGGGAATTGAACCCAGGGCCCCCCACATGCTCGGCAAGTGCTCAGCCGCTGAGCTACAACCTCAGCCCTGTGTTGGGAGCTGAGTCTGTGAAGAGCTCACTGGAGTAAAATGAGGCACTGAGAAGGTGGCCTGGGTCAGGGTCATTGGCCTGGGGCCCTCGGGAGGGGGGAAGGTGGGTTCTGGCACACGACGCTGGGATGACGAAGGCCAGCAGCAGTGCTGCCCAGTGTGCGTGGATCCACCTGCGGTGGGCATTTCCCAGACGTGGGCTGCACAGGCCAGGTGCCAGTCAGGGAAGAACTGCCTGAAATGCACACAGCCCGGGTCTTATCCCGCGATCTGTGCCACAGTCAGCAAAACAGAAGGGAAGTGGCTCATGGCCGAGAGCAGGAGTAACACGAGGTGAGGCCTGCTGTAGTGGTTTCCAACATCCATCTACACCCACGCCACGTGGGTCTCCATCCCCAGCGCTGGTCAGCAGGCGTTGTGTGGCTACTCTTCAGTGTTCATGGAGGGTGTCTGGGCCGTAGGATGATGGATAAACCATTGGTGGACACACTTCTCTTGGTGTACACTTAGAAGCAGAGCTGCTGGGTCCTGTGGCAACTGCACAGTTGGCTTCCCAAGGGGCTGCCAGCTGCCTGCCCCAGGGCCTTTCGGGCCCCTGGCTCCCTCTGCTCCCCATCTGACTGCCCAGGAAGTGCCACTAAGGTGAACCCACTTACCCACTCACGGAGTCATGGGTCACCTGGACACATTTATCTCTAGTGTCAGCACCTGCTGAGGTCACTTGAGCAGGCTCTTCCCTGCTGAATGATGGGAAGGGCCTCTGTCTCACCCCACACGGCATCCCCAGAGTCAGGCATGGCTCTGTACCCAATGAGTCCACCATGTGAGTGAATGCAGAGGAGAAAAGAGTTTCTGCCTGGAACCAAAATGCTGCAGGCTCAGCAGCACCTCTACCCTGGCCTGCCCACAGGAATGGAGCACAGTGGCCCCAGGACCTGGGGTCACGCAGCAACAGCCAGCTAGGTTGCTACCCCGCAGCTGTGGAGGTAGCAGGGACACTGAAGTGGGTCTAGGGGACAGGAGGGAAAAGCACATCTAGGCCAGGCCAGTGGGAGGGAGGCTGAAGGCTGGGGTCCCGGGTCCCTGTCATCTCAGTAGGCCCAGGGAGTCCCCCTCGGTAGCCAGCCATGAGGTGTGGCAGGAGAGGAGTGCGGACAGCTGCTGTCTACACCGTGAAAGTACCAGGACTCTAGTGATCTCCAGTTTGAAACCTACAGAACAAAGGAAGGCCTTTCCTGCCCTAGGCCACTTAAAGCTCCCGAGTGGTGACTGTGCTCACACCTGCGGCTTCTACACAGCAGAGAAGGTTTCCTTCAAGACTGCACTTCCAGGCCATTTCCCAGAATTCAGCTACTGCTCTGGCTTAAGGGTACGCTCCTGGGCAGGAGCCACATAATTTAGAACTGCGGAGGTCCAGTGAGGCGAGACCGACCGATTGCTCACTACTGTTTTCTTGGTGAAGCATCACTTGTTACAGATAAGGAAACTCGGGCACTGAGAGCTGGCCACACTGCAACCCAGACAGCCGGAAGCAGTGTGACTGGAGCAGCCCCACTCTCAGCCACTGTACCGTCTTGAAGAGGGAGGAGCCAAGCCCCAGTGTGGAGAAATCCATAGTGACCACCACTTGGCGCATAATAGCCACCAGGAGCCTAATGCAGAGCTGGGGCAGGGATGGGCAGGAGAAAGAGACCAGGGGAGGCAGAATAAAAGCTGAGTCAGGCGCAAGAGCCACGGGATGGCCTTTTCTAGGTCACAAAACCTCACAGGTTTGAGGGACAGCTGAGGGCGTTTGCTGCATCAGGGAGCAGCTCTGTCTCACAGCAATGCAGAAGGCAGGGCTGAGGTGCAGTGTTGGTACAGGGTGGGCGCTGGCTTGCCTGGCGGAGCATGGGCCCTAGCTCACATGCCTAGCCTCCCCCCTAAATGTTACCCTCAGGCCTCAAGCAGGGAGGGGTAAGGCGCATGTGTTCCCAGCTGGCTGGTGACAGTTGGCAGGTGGGCACTTTCACATAAAAAACCTACACTTCCTGCTTCCCTTGACAATGGGATGCTCAGGCAACCCTGGGCCTGTGACTGTCTCCCCACTTAGGTGACCGCCATGGAGGAGGAAAGTGGCTCTCAGTTACAGTCCCCACCACTCCGGATTCTCAGCCAGACACTTGAAGCCAAGGGTCATAAGACCCCTTCACTGGCCTTCCACGGGCTTCCAGCGGTGCCCCCTCTGCCAACATAGGTGTGACCTTGGGTCCCCCGCCCTGCATTTGTTCTCTCAGTTGTAGGATGGGGAGGGCCTCTCTCTGGAAAGTTTTCTGGGAAAAGCAAATGAGATCATAAAATACGAGCTGGCCCTGAAAACAAGAAGCTGTAGTCAGGGTTTTCAAGAGAAGAGATTTAATACAGGACACATAATTCACAGGACTATTCTGTAAATCACCCGAAGAGTCAGAATGCAGGACAGCTGTCCAACACTAGAGACCCCAAGAGTCCAGCTGAGGGCCTGGAGCCCACAGCAATATCCTACATAAGTCCGGCTGGAGCCCACGGTGATGTCTCAGGCGAGGCTGCATCAAGGATCCGCGCTGGAAAGGCCCCAAGGGCAGCAGTGGAAGCTCCAAAGTCTGCGCTAGCAGGAGGAAGGATCAGTGCCAGCAGGCTGAGGGGTCTGCACTGGGGCCAGGAAGCGACCCAAGGTGAGCACCAGAGCTCCCCTGAAAAGAACCGCAGCCACCCGCAGCGACAGTGAGGTCCTTGAACTCCTCTGATGAGAATAGCTTAGTTTCTATCAGGAAAGCCAGCACAGCAAGCTTCTCCACGAGAATCACAGCACCATCTCCCCCTCCAGTTCTCCCCTTATGCTGCTGGCAACAAGCCCCAGGTGGGCTCTCCACGCCCAGCACCACGCTGACTCAGTTCAGCTGGGCGTTACCAGTTGGCCATCAGCTAACCCACAACTTATGATGTTGAACTAATGCCTCTTAATTGGCTATTTGTACAGGTGAAGAAACTAGAAATAGCCTGTCCAACAGATTGATAAGCCATGAAATGTGATGTGGCCTCTAAGAAAGGAAGCAGCAGACACCTGGGTTCCAGATGGAAGCAGGCTGGGGACAGTACAGTGCCTGAGAACAAGCTGTGCTCCTCTGTATGTACACCTTTCCAGAAAACCCTGAAAGTACACTACCCATCAGTTTGCCAATGGACTGAGGGACAGGGATCCGCTCAAGGTTTTTTTGGTAAGGAGTTACCGGGAGTCAAACTTAGAACCTCACACTTGCCAGGCAGGCACTGCGTTGTGCTGAGGTAAATCCCCCGCCCCTCCTCACGATTTTTTTCTTTTTCTTTTCTTGGTGGCACAAAGGCTTGAACCCGGGGCCTTCCAACTGAGCTTCCTCAGGCTTCTTGCAATTTTTGAGACAGGCTTCTTGGAATTTTTAGGTGGGGCTTGAAGTTGTGATTCTCTTAACCTCCTGGAGCTAGGGCTATAAGCATGTGCCACCACACCTGGCTTCTGCTTTTTCAGACAGGATCTAAATATATAGCTCAGGCTGGCTTTGCACTTGCATCCACCCTCTTGCCTCAGCCTCCAGAGCATAGGAATTACAAAGGCATTATGCCAGGCCCAGCCTTTCTTTTGTAATAATCATTTAACGAAATCTACATAGACTTAATTTTTAAAAAATCTTTTATTTGTAAAGGTCTTACTACACAGCCCAGACTTGTAGTGATTCATCCTCCTGTCTCAGCCTCCCCAGTGTTGGGATTACAGGCGTGTGGTTTTGGTGGCTGGCTGGGCACAGCATGTGGTGCAGGGGGGATTGAACCTGGGTCCTTGAGCTTGCCAGGCACGTATTTAGCCTACTAAGCTATTTTTTGGTACCAGCAATCGAATTCAGGACCTTGTGCTTGCCAGGCAGGTGCTTATTTTTTTTTTTTTTTTAAACATTTAGTGTGTGTGTGTGTGTGTGTGTGTGTGTGTGTGTGTGTGTGTGTGTGGCCAACTCAGCCCACCAGGGGGCGCAGCTGGCTGGCATGTGGTGCTGGGGGATCAAACCGCGGTCCCTGTGCTTTGCCAAGCTTGTTCCAAGTAGGTGCTTTAGACCACTGAGCCATCTCTCCAGCCCAGGTGCTTATTTTTTGTCTGAGAGTCTTGCTATACAGGCCAGGCTGGTCTCAAACTTGCAATGATCCTCCTGCCTCAGCCTCCTGAATGCTGGAATTACAGGCATGCCCTATGACACCCAGCTGATTTTGTTTTCTTAAAGCAATACTTCTGCCTCAGCCTCCTGAGTGTTGGGATTATACCTTACCTGGACCCAGGAAAATTCTGAAGAGAAGCAACAGGCTTAAAGCATGAGAGATGCTATCACTGTACATAAAACCCAATTTTCGTTATCAGGTTCTCATATGTACTTCACACAAAATTAGGATCTCTAACTCATGATTTCACCATTATCAGTGTTCAGAGCTACACGCTACACATCTATAATCCCACCACTGTCAAGGTTGAGGGAGGAGGATTGTGGAGAGTTCCATACCAGCCTGGACTATCTAAGACAGACACCGTCTCCAAGAAAAAGTCTGAATAAAATGAAGTTAAAAATATATTAAAAAAAAAAAAAGTATTTAGGGCCAGGGAGATAGCTCAGTAGAATAAGCACTTGCCTGGCAAGTGCAAGGTCTTGAGTTCAATACCCGGTACTGCAAAAAAAAAGAAAAAAAAAAAAAAAAGTATTTGGTACAGGGTCTCATTATGTAGCCTGGACTCACAGTGACCCTCCTGCTTTCAGCCTCCCCAGCACTGGAACTACAGGTGTGAGCCACCACGCCCGGCCGCAAGTGCACCCAGGGGCAGGGCTGGTGCACCATGTGGTGCCAGGGATGAAACCGCAGTCCCTGCGCTTGTCTAAGCACACCCTTAGTCCGCTGAGCTATCTCACTGGCCCTAAAAATGCATTCTGAGTTGATCTGAAACACTGAAGTGGCAATGGTAGCAAGAACATTGTGAATAGAGTTAATAATGGCGCAAATTAGCTACAACTGGAGACAGGTGTGGTGGCACATACCTTTAATCCCAGCACCCAGCAGGCTGAGGAGGATCACTGTTAAGTTCGAAGCCAGCCTGGACTACAGTGAATCCAAGGTCAGCCTAACTACATTGTGAAACCCTGTCTCCCTGCCAAAAACATTACCACAGCAACTTTACTGCTGTATGAATTTTTTCACAGTAAAAAACAAACAGTTCTGGGGCTGGTGAGATGGCTCAGTGGTCTAAAGCACCTACTTAGAACAAGCTTAGCAAAGCACAAGGACCGCGGTTCAATCCCCCAGCACCACATGCCAGCCAGCCCTGCCCCCTGGTGGGCTGAGCTGGCCACACACACACACACACACACACACACACACACAAATAAATTAAAAAAAAAACACCAAACAGTTCTGGAAAAGCTACAGTTGAATTGGTACCAGATTCAGAAAAGAACTGCAGTTATCCGCTGGGTGTGGTAGAGCACACCTGTAATCTCACCCCTTGGGAGGCTGAGGCAGTAAACTTAGGAGCTCCAGGCCAGCCTGGGCTATCCTACACAGTAATGCTGTCTCACAAACCAGCCAGCGCGGAGTGTGGGGAGAGCCTGAGACCCTGCTCAGCGCAGACAGCAGCACCTTGCACACACAGGCACTACTGCAGGGCCCCAGCAAGCCGCTGGGACCATTGGGGCTGCAGTGCTACCGAGGGAGCGGCGGGAAGCAGAGCCCCTGGCCCCCAACTGCATGCTTGGGAGGGCAGAGTCCCAGCTACTTAATTAGACCTGGTTTGTCTTACAGGTATCCCAGGTTCTACCATGTGGTCTGGTGTCTGACTCAGTGGCGCCCTTGTACAACAGAGTGCCGGGCAGTGAGGGAAGGGCTGGGACACCAGGAGTGGCCTGTGTCACACACCCCTGATGGGGACCAGTCAGTGGACAGTAGCAAGGTCAACACGTGAATACTGACACAAAGTTCTGGTTTTAAACTTTTTAGAATAAGAGAACAATTAAAGGCAACACGTGGTTCCAAGGTCTTTTCGGGCTCTCAAGTAGCACAGATCAGGTTTGGGATCTCTGAGAAAGTATACAGCAGGTCACCCAAGGTGACTCTGCTTTCCCAGTCTCAGCCCCAGCATGATTGCCCCTGGCACAAAGGTGGGAGGGACCGCCCCTTCCCGAGCTCTGCCTGTGCTCTGTGCCCACTGGAACTGCTGCCAAACACCCCTGTGAGCCGGCTGTGAGGGACCTGGAGCTGTGGGGGCCCTGGTGAGGCTGGCAGCAACACAGAGGGTCTCACTCTTTAGCACGCAGCCCAAGACCCCCCGCGGGGGGGTGACCTGAAGGAATTTTGGAAGAAAAACCACCCTGGATGGAGCAAGCAAGCCCTGTAGAGAGACTGCTTCCCTGGGAAACCGGGCAGCCACTTCTGGAGAGGGCCTGCAGGGCCGGCTCGAGGCCCTCAGGGAGGCCCTGGCTGCAGGGGAGCTGCACACTGCCAGGGACCCGGGCACAACCTGATGCCTCCCCCACCAGAAACCTCCCCAAACCTCACCCCCACGGTCGGTCACCTGCCCCCCACGCCCAGCAATCAACAACACAGAAGATAGCATCTGTTCTTCTCAAACAGTTTAATAGCAAATAAACAAAGAAGGTACCACACTTGGCAGATACAAAATGACTTTTTGTCCGTGTGTCTGTGCAATTAAAACAGATTCAGGTTTCCCATTGGGATAAAAGGAAAAACACACAAAAAAAGGCGAGTCCTTTGAAACACATACTCCCTTGCTCCAAACTTGTAACAATTTTTCTTTTTTAATCCACTACACAAACTCTGATTGGGTGAGAAAAGTGACAAAGACTCTTCTTACCTTTTTAAAAACCATTAAAGTAAAATCCATAATTTTCTACAGAGTACAACACAACTTCACACAAAAAAGACATTTTCTTTTGCAAATCAAAACAGGAAAGAAAGAAAAGCTCAAACAAGGTCAAGGAAAAGCATTTCTACGGCTAAATCACGACTTGAGTTGATTGAATCCCATTGCTGCTGCAGAACAGACTGTGCGTTTGGTCATAGTGGCATTTTTTTTTTTTTCTCTTCACATTGTGAAATCACTTTACATTGTTTTCTAGTAGAAAAGGCAAAAAACTGTACAAAACCCCTAGTGTTAAATACGTTTGTACCAATAAAAAACTCACACAGGTTTGTCTCCAAAATGTAAAGTTTCTTTTTTTTTTTTTCTTTTTAAATTATTCACAAAAAGCAGCTGGAAATCAGAAAGACAGCTGCCGCTCCAGGGTCTCAAATCCATTAAAACCACCACAGAACAATTAAAACAATCAGAAAGGAAAAGGAAACAATGTCCAACGTTTGGCATTTGGTTTTATCCACAGGTTTTCCCAGAGCTCCTCTTGGAATTGAAAGCAAAATACATTGGCAAAGTTTCTCAGTCCCAGAAGGGCAGGCTTGGTGCCCCTACGAGGCGGCTCTGTGCAGTCAGACTGTGGGCGCGGGCTCTGGGCTGGGCCTGGCTTGCCCACCCACCTCCCTTGCTGGACGCTGGGTCCTCGAAGCTGCCCCTCCTGCCAGTAGAGTGACCTCCAGCATGGCCCAGGCAGCTGGCTGGGACCTCTTGCCCTCAGCAAGCACGCACTGACCATGCTTCTGCACCCACCCTGTCCCTCACACCTACCCCTCATGGTCCTGTTCCCAGTGCTTAGCGTGGAGGACCTGCCATCAACTCCTCTCCAGCTCCCTCCTACTCCTCAGACCCATGCTGTCCTCTCTTCTACTCTCCTCTGGGCTCTCCCTCTCCATTCACATTCTTCCTCAAGAACCAAGACCCCGAGGCTGGACGGAGTCACAAGAGAAGAGGGCAAGTTCCCCCTTAGGGAGCCTAAGTACTGGCTGGCCTGGAACCCAGGGTCAGCAGCCATGTAGCTCTTTACCCAATTAAGAAAACAATCCTTGCCTGACCCCTACCCCAGCCACCAAGCAGAGCAGAGCTGGGGAAGAGCTGGCTGGGGCGGGTGGCGCTCAGGGTGTAAACAGTGTGAAGATGGGTATTGTGCTTGTCACCTAGGAAAGCTGAGGCAGGCTGCTGCCATTCAGTGCTAGAGTGCCCTCCCCACTGGGCGCTGGCCTCCTGTGCCCCTTAGCTTCGCCGTCTCTGCTTCCCTGCCTGTCTAAGTCCCTCCCTTCAGCTCCCCTCCACAGTGACCCAGGTCCCAGGTGCCCTACTGAAACGTGATGCCACTCAGGGTGACAGTCTAAGTGCACAGGACACGCTCTACAGGCAGTTGAGGAGAAAGTTGCCACTTCAAAATAAACAGTACAATCTTGAAAAAAATAACCCCACAACAATTTAAAACAGCTTCTTTGAAACCCTTTTAAATCGGTCAGTTTTTGCACAAACTATAGAAAACAGAGAGGTGAAGGTGATATATACGAAGGTGTGAAGAAATAGCAGGAAACATGCAAAATTTGTTTTTTCTGAGCATAATCTTAGTGGGAAAAATATTCAAAATTAAAACATAAAAGCAATACAAAACCAAAACCAAAAAGATCAAAACATCACATTTTGCTGCGGAGACTGCAGGACAAGCATGAGGTGAGCTGGGGCTGCCTGGCTGGGCCACCCCAAGGAAGACCACAGAAGAAGTGAAAAGGGAGGGCTGGGGCCCAAACTGCAGCCTGCTGTCGGAGAGGAGGGTCCAGGTGTGTTCTGCAGTGGAGAACTCAGAAAAACAAAAATAACAACACATGCGGTCTCCTCAAGCCCCACAAACTGTATCAGCAAAATGTGCTCAGGAGCCTCAAAGGTTTTAGTGACATCCTTTATTGTTTACTTCAAAGTTGTCTTTAAAACTAAGCACACAGAAACAAAGCCTAGAAACGGACTGGCTGTGTGTTCACAGAAACACAAACACCACGCGGTATGTGCTAGTAGGGCTGCTCTGAAGACAATTACAAAGAATTGGAATCACAAAATCAAGTGGTTATCTTATGAAGTTCTAGAAAAATAGATTTTTTTTATATTCAAATGCAAGTTTAAATATTTCCCCTTCAGCAGTCGTTCTAGCAAAACCAATTTTGGCAGCACAAAAAGGAAAAGAAAAAAAAGGAAAGAAAAAAGAAAAAACAAAGAAAGAAACAAACATAATAAAAATACACGTCAGCATCAAAGGTCAACACAAGGTCAAAGGTGAGAGTTCAAGCATCAGAGAAGCTGAAGAGACAGGGATTTGGACGATGTACTTGACGCCACATCGACATGCTTTAGGCACAACGATGAACAAACGGCAGGAATCTAGAAAAAAAACAAACCAGAAAGAGGGAGACCCACTGAGTTACACAGAGCAATACATCCAAACAGAGAGAGAGAACAGACACTCACTGTGTGGACAGCCCTGAAATGAGGAGCAGGGCGGGGCGGGGCGGGATGACAGGGGACTTTGCACATGCTAACGATGGACACAGGGAAGAGTCAAAAAGGACACGGAGGACACCAAGAAAACATCCAGCTGCCAGAGACAGAAGGGAACCTAAGGCTTGGATTTCTCCCGAAGTGCCCAGTGGTGAGGAGGAGGTCTGAGGGGCCCTGGTTCTTCCCTCCCAGGGAGGAGTCAGAGATGCAGGCTGTGGGTAGAGGGGTCCTTCAGCAGGGAGAGCTGAGATTTCTGCTCCAACCTACGAGGAAAGCCCTTGGTTCCCAGAAATCCAAGCCCTTAGCTTCCACACCGACCCTGGCCACTTATATGGGACCCAGGAGATAGTGGTCTGCCCACATTCAAGGCAAATCAATTTCATGATGTAACCCAAGGAAGAAACAAAACTTCGGCAGAAAGCACATTTTAAGTGACACCTCCATGACAGAAAAGGATTGCTTAAGACTTGGCTGTGCGTCCCCACTCTCTGGGCTGAGCCCTCTCACATAGTGAGACTTAGAGGGGAGCAGCTTCACAAAACCTTCTTTGGCCCGGGAGAGAACTGTGCTCAAGGGCAGTGCAGCTGCAGTGCGACACACTAGGCAGAGGGGTCACGGGTGTTGGTCTCACCACTGGCTGCCTGCACAGCCAGGGCCCTGAGGGTCTAGTGCTCCTTTCAGAAGGGACAATATGAGCAGGCATGGGCCTTGGTGGGATCAAAAATGGCAGGCTGCACCTGCACCCAGGACAAACCCCTGGGCACTGGTGAGCCGCGGAGCTCTGGCCAAAGAGGAAGATAGAACAGAAGGTTGGGAGCACAGCACCGGCAGTGCCCAGGGAGCACAGCTCTCTCCTCTGCCAATTCACAGCATCAATGCCTTCCCCTTGGGTAGGGTAGCCGGGCTGCAAACGCCACAGAAAGTCAGTAGTTTCAATCATACACAGCACCCTGTGTGTACAACAATCACATTCTGGATTCTATAAAATCCTGGCCTTTTCCAGAGATATAATTTAGGTAATAAATATTCTCCACCCTGGAGCTGTATAAAACTTCTATAAAAATAGAAACGACATTCTTGGTTCCAGCCGGTTGGGATTCAGAACAGTATCTCCCCCAACCTAGCATTTTTCTTTTTTTTTTTTTT